GGTGATTTAGGAGCCCGAAATGGGCCGTTCCCAATCTAGAACGAGCCATTCAAAATTGTTAAAAGGCATTGAAACCTTAGTTGAGAACGGGCCATAATGGGTTGTTCCAGCACAAGTTGTTACGAGTCAAGTTTAAATCTGGAACGGCCTGTTCTGACACCAGAATGAACCATTCCAGATTCAAATTTAACTCATAACAAACTGATTCAGAACGGGTCATTCTGAAATAGGACGGGCTGTTCCGAAACCAGAACGAATCGTTTTGGTCAGTTTTAACATCTATAAATAGCAGACTCGGGCACTGCTCCCGGGGCCAGAAAAAATTCGTCTAGAAAGTCTGATATAGCTCAAAATTTCTCTTTCTTTCTTCCCTTGTATTTCTTGAGACCTGGTGAGGTACATTGTAGTGTGTTAGGTAGCTAAAAAGCACCTAAGAGTCTCCCTATTCAAAGATCCAATAAAACTCGGTTAAGAGGTATTTCAATCAACACTTCTCTCTCTTTATTTATTCAAATTAATCGATTTTTGTCCTAAATAATAAAGGGTAACCATGTAGACATTTTAGGGTAAATCGAGTAATTTAAATTTTATGTATATAAATAATCATCAATAAAGGGGATTTAATATTTAAATTATTATTTCTTATTAGGCTAACTTCATCATAGAGTAGCGATTTAGGTGTTGTAGGGGTGCTTAATACCTTCCCTATACGTAATTAACACTCGAGCCCAATTTTAGTTATTAAGGCCATTATTGGATTTTTCAAAAAACCTTTTCTTTTTTCAATATTTTGAGTAAAACATTGGTGACGACTTCTACGAACCATTTTTCAAAACCATTAATTAAAGATTAGTTTGGTTTCCGGGCATTCCCTAATTGATGAGATTTTCAATTGGAAGTCTAAACTATTTGTCGTAAGATCAGAATTTTTTGGGTTACGACAAGGGGCTATAGGAGAATGCCATACATCAACACTTAAAACATATAAGTATGCTAACTCTTAGCTCGACAATCCCCTCTTGGTTGTCATCCTCTCGGCATGACCATCTTAGATATAACCTGAGATGGTACACTTGCCCACGAACCCAAGCCCATACGGTGAAAGGGCTAGAGGAGAATGCCATATATCAACATTTAAAACGTATAAGTAGGCTAATACTTAGGTTGACTATCCACCGAGTTTATCAAAGGTTTCCTTTTCGTATTTTAATGTGAAATGACATGCATTTAACATCGTATTGCTTTATTGCAAAAGTAATTGACTTTTGTGACACACGGCATAATGCCCTTGTGTAATGAAGCGTGAGGCCCCCAAAATGGTATTAGATGTGTCATTTCACTCACGACTCTTCCCTTACTATTGCTAACCTCTTAGTGTGTCTCTTCACTTCTATAAATATAAAATATGGGGCATTCGTACAAGTGTTCTTTCTCTTAGACCTTCATGCATTCTCTTCTCTGATGAGCAAGAGTATTTTTCTCTACCCTTCGTTGTAGTGGTTCTGCGACGATTTCGCAACGGGTTTGAGTAAAGAAATTTTTTTCCCTTTGAGGTTCCTTTTTGGTACACCCCCTTAACCTATTGTGTTTTTCCATTTTTCCTTCCCCTTTGGTCATTAGAGTATTTAGGTTTTCTTTAAAAATGACTTTCTTAAGTTTTGGGAAAATATATAAATGGGTGAAGGATGACGTTTTGAAATGTGATTTTATCCTGAACTCTTGGCCTACCACAAAGAGCTTTAGTAGAGAACATTTTTTTCTCGTAATGGGCATGATAATAATATTATCTATGAACCTTGCGTTGATAATGAACCTGTATGTATTAGGTCAGTCCCTAATAATTTTACCTTTTTCTATGTGACCTTGATTGCCAAATTGAAAGTTAGGTGACCTTTGACCGAGTGTGAGAAAGACATGCTTAGGGCTCTAAATGTAGCACCAATTAGTTATGCTCTAACATTTAAGCTTTTGTTTAGGGTTTTGAGGTTTTGTGTTCTTTGAGTGCCAAGCCAACAAGAGGAGTAGTTAGGTATTTGTGAGTAGTGTAGCAAGTTAGGGAATGCTTTCACTTTTTCAATCTTCATATAAATACTTTAAAAAAAATATGTTTTTTGCATTCGTTGCACATCGAGCAATGAGGATTTACTCTAGGGTTTTCCCCTTCACTAGAGCGAAAATCCAACATCATATGGTAGTTTGGATTCCGAGAAAGTCCCTGAGAACAACCAAGAGGACATTAAGAAACTCGAGGAGCTCAAAACTATTTTCAACATTTCCAAACTACTAGATTTATAAAATAGACCCATAGGGACTCTCCTCGTGGTCGTGGCATAGGATGGTAACAACAACATATTTCCAATTGGCTTTGCCATTGTTAAGGGTGAAATAGGAGACACATGGTATTTCTTTCTCCATTATCTAAAAAAACATGTTTGCACTTAAGATGATCTTTGTTTAATTTCATATAGGCACGAATCAATTAAAAATGCTTACTTAAGAGAAGGCAGTGTTTGGACACCGAAAAATTTAGTGCATGTGTTTTGTATTTGACACATTGCACAAAATTTCATGAGTCATTTCAAGAATGTAAAAAGGAAAAAATTGATCATCAACATGGGTATGTAATTTTATTTATTTATTTTTGAGGAGCAATTATATATTTATTTGTATTTATTTTACTATATCTGGTGAATTGATGAATTGTTGTTAAAATTCACAGCTTATGGCATGACAGAGTCTAGGTTCAATTGCTACTTTAATATATTGAGAAGCGAACCAAAAATTGAAGGTATAATTGATTGGCTCAACAATATTCCTAGAGACCAATGGACTCTTAAATGGGATGGTGGTCTATGATGGGGACACATGACAACTAACCTAGTAGAGACAATAAACTCAATTCTTAGAAAAACAAAAAATTTGCCAATTTGTGCAATTATCACGTGGACATACAAAAGATTCAATGCATTATTCATCTAGAAAAGGAAGGAAGTCGACGCTAAACTAAAAGCCATGCAAGTATATACAGAAATCATAAATAAGGCTATTAGAGACGTGGAATCAAAGGCAAACAGTTATCATGTCCTTGAGTTTGATTGATGCAATACATTTTTTTGGTGCAAGAAACGATTAAGTCAACAACTCATTCTTCTGATAGACGGTATTCAACCAAGTTTCAGTGTGTGTTTGTTTAGTTGTGTATTTTTCTTTAATATCATGTATTCAAGTGTGTTTCAATGCAGTTGTTCAGTTGTATTAATGAATTGCAAATTTTAATTTCCTATTTTTTTAAAGACTTTAACACTAACATCAAATACTTAAATTAATTACAATTTTATATTATTAATTTAAATTTAACATTATTTAAAGTTAATAATATTCATTATTAATAATATTAAAAAATCAAATATATACCATTTTATAAAATAATATTGTTATAAAAAAATAAATAGTTAACATTATTAAAATATCTATATTTATTAAATATAATTAATAAATTAATTA